GAAAGGAGAGGGGAATTTGAATGAGGTTTTGGGTATGAAAGGGCAAGGGACGATCAGGAGACTTGGGGAGGGCCAAACACTTGGGAAAGGTGGAAACTATGGAGGAATAAAGAGAAACGGGGGAGATCAGAAGGCGAGGAAGCTGAAGATGTTCATTTTGAAGGAGAGGACGCACATGGGTTGATCTATAAGGTGGAGTGGTACTTCGTCATCAATGGGTTGACGAAGGAGAAGTTAACAGTAGCAGACTTATGTTTGGAGGGAAAGTCGTTGTCATGGTATTAGTGAAGGGACCAGAGGAGACCCCTACGAAGCTGTAGAGAGTTCAAGGATTGTTTAATATAACGTTTCCAAACCGACAAGAGAGGAGATTTCTATGAGCAATTCTTTGCACCAGTGCAAGATTGATCAGTGGCAGACTGCCAGAAGAGGTTTAAGCATCTGGCCAGTCGGGTGGAGAAATTTTCAAAGACAACATTGCAGGGGAACTTCCTAAAGGGGCTCAAATCAGTGATCAGAGCAGTAGTGAAGGTCATGAGGCCTCGTGACTTAGGAAAGGCCATGGAGTTGGTACAGCTGGTGGAAAATCAGATGTATCATGAGAGGGGAGTCAGGAGCAGCAATTCAAGGAGCTTTTATAGGATGACGACCACTCTTGTAGCACCCAAATATCCGATAGCAGGAGGATTTTGTGAGACCACTAGGGAGAAGGCAGTAGGAGGAAGTGGGGGGAATTTCAAGAGGCTGACAGAGAAAGAGATGCAGGAGAAGAGGGCAAAGGAGTTATGTTTCAGGTGTGATGGGAATTATACTCCAGGGCATAAGTGTAGGGATTGAACTCTTCAGGTTCTCACCGTCTGTGATGATAAGGAAACTGAGGAGGGAGGTGAGGGAGAGCTTGAAGAAGAGATGAAGAGAAGCTACATTTGGATCTTTCAGATGTTTCCTTGAACTCTGTGGTAGGATTCATTACGAATCATACCATGAAGTTGAAAGGGAGGTAGTGGTACTGATTGACAGTGGGGCTACTCACAATTTCATTTCCACTCAGGTCGTCGACCAACTGAGAGTGAAATTGATGGGCACCGATTATTATGGGGTGATGATGGGTACGAGGAAGGTAGAGAAAGGTCAGGGGATCTGTAAAGGTGTGATGTTGACCATCCAAGGGATTAAGGTGAGGGAGGATTTTCTCCAACTGGAGTTAGAAAGTACATATATTATATTGGGGATAAAGTGGTTGCAGACATTGGGGGACACCAAGGTCAATTGGGGGCATTCAAGATGGAACTGATGGTGGATGGAAGAAAGGTGGTGATAAGGGGAGATGCAGGGCTATCCAAAGCCATGATATCTCTCAAGACCATGGTGAGATGTATACAGGAGGTGGGGGGAAGGTTTTCTGGTGGAGCTGCACAGACTAGAGAGAGTTAGATTAGAGGGAGGGGACATACCTCTCTCAGTACGACCGCTGATTCAAAAATTCGATGAGGTTTTTCAGCCATCTCAGGGATTGCCACCACTAAGGGAGCAGGTACATGCTATCACCTTGAGGGAAGGTGTATCACCCATCAGCGTCAGGACACATCACTATCCTCAATTTCAGAAAGTTGAGATTGAAAAGTTGATTAGAGAAATGATAGAGGCAGGAATTATGAGGCCAGTGTTAGTCCGTTTTCTAGTCAAGTATTTTTGGTTAAGAAAAAAGATGCCAGCTGGAGGTTTTGTATGAACTACATGGCGTTAAATAAGGAGACTGTGCTAGATAAGTTTCTTATAATAGTGCTTGATGAGTTGTTGGATGAGCTGAGTGAGGCAGTAATCTTCACCTGAAATCAAGATATCTCATATCAGAATGAAGAAGATGTGCCCAAGACTGTTTTCAGAACTCACAAAGAGTATTATGAGTTCCTAGTGATGCCTTTTGGCCTTACTAACGCACCCAGTCACTCATGAATAAGGTCTTCATATCTTATCTCAGCTGATTTGTCTTGGTGTTCTTTGACGACATTCTAGTTTACAGCAGGACAGAGGAGCATTGGGAGCACTTGAGGATGATGCTACAGGTGTTGCAGGAGCATCAGCTGAGGGCCAACCTGAAGAAATGTGGTTTTGCTCAGTCCAGTGTGGAATATTTGGGCCATATTGTGTCCAAAGAGGGGGTAGCAGTACATTAATAAAAAATTGAGGCTATGTTGTGTTGGCCAATACCTAAGAATATGAAGGAGATGAGAGGATTCCTATGACTAACATGATACTACAAGAAGTTCATGAAGGGGTATAACACTATAGCATGACCACTAACGAAACAATTGAAGAAGGATGAATTCCTATGGGGGGAGGCAGCCACATCAACTTTTGAGGGCTTTGATGAAGGCTGTACTAGTCTTAGCACTATCGAACTTTACTTTGGTGTTCGTAGTAGAGACAAATGTTTCAGGATATGGATTGGGGGCATTGCTCATGCAAAATCATCGACCCATTGCCTATTTCAGCTTGGTGCTGATAGCTAGGGCTAGGTTGAAATCAATTTATGAGCGGGAGTTGATGGCCATTGTATTAGCTATCCAGAAGTGGCGGCCCTACCTATTAGGTAGGCATTTCGTTGTCAGGACAAACCAGCGGAGCTTGAAGTACTTGTTGGAGCAGCCGATGGTAATAGGGAGCATAAGAGGTGGCTGTCCAAGTTGCTGGGTTATGATTTTGAAATTCAATATTGGCCATGAGTGGAGAACAAGACGGCATATGCCTTGTCTAGATGTATGGGGGAGGTGTAGGAGACAACATTGTTAATTCCATTGATGTTAGATTGAGAGGCCATTAAAGAGGAGAGTACCCAGGATGAGGATTGGGAAAGATCAAGGTTGATTTACTGAGGGAAGGGAGTAGCCATCTGGGGCATTCCTTGGAAGGGGAGAGACTTCTGTACTAGGAGAGGTTTGTGAAGCTTAGGATATCAGTTCACATTCTACAGTTGCTCAAGGAGTTCCATGGGAGCGCTATTGCAGGGTGCAGAAGATCTACAGGAGACTAGCTTCAAAGCTGTAGTGGAAGGGGATGCATAAGGATGTGAAGGAGAGGTTAGCCAGGTGTGAGGTCTATCAGAGGAACAAGTACATGACCATGTCTCCAAGAGGATTATTACAACCACTAGCTTTATCGGGTTGAGTATGGGAGGAGGTGCTCATGGATTTCAGGGCTACCTCGACTAGAAGTGTTCACAGTGATCCTGGTGGTGGTGGATTGATTGAGCAAGTATGCTCATTTCATTCTCCTACGACATCCATACACCGTAGTGGCAACGTCATCAACATTAATCAGAGAGGTTGTCAGACTGCATGGAGTACCAGAGGTTATAGTATCTGTCAGGGATAAGGTTTTCTTCAGCCATTTATGGAGGGGGTTGTTCAGACTACACGGGACAATATTAAATAGAAGCAGCGCCTGCCACTCACAGACGGATGACCAAACATAAGTGCTCAACAGGGGCTTGGAAACTTACTTAAGATGCTTTGTGTTAGAGACATCCAAGTTATTGGCCAAATGACTAGCATGGGCTGAATATTGATACAACACCTCTTTTCATTATGCTCTCAAAAGACCCCATTCAAGGTGTTGTACGGAAGGGATGCACTTTGGGCATAGCAACACTCAAGTTTCTTCAGTGGAGTACTTGGAGGAGAGGGACATGATATTGGAAGAGTTGAAGAGGCATCTGCTAAGAGCTTAATATATTATGAAGAAACAAACAGATGAGCATATGAAGGAAATCCAATTCGAGGTAGGGGAAAGGGTGTTCTTGAAGCTCCGACCTTACGGGCAAAGGTCTGTCGTGAACAGGAGGAATGAAAAGCTTTCCCCATGATACTTTGGGCCATATGAGGTATTGGAGTTGCGGCTTATCTGTTGAAACTATCACCAATTGCGACTATACACCCGATGTTCCATGTATCTCAGTTAAGGAGGAAAATTGGGGATTCTGCAGCATGCTCTGAGTTATTAGTGACACTAACGGAGGATTTAGAGGTGATTTTGAAACCCTTGGAGTTGATGGTGGTTCACCAGAGAGAAGAAGGAGCTAAGGAAGTGTTGATCAAATGGAAGAGCCTCCCGGACTATGATGCCACATGGGAGCCATATGAGAGGGTGAAATATTAGTTTCCCTATTTTTACCTTGAGGACAAGGTGATTCTTTGTAAGGGTGGTATTGTTAGATTGGTCCCTAGTGGACTGGTCCAACCGGCCCCTTCTAAGCGGGCCGGTTCATGTATGCTGGAGAAGGGGCGATGACGAGAGAGATTGGGTGGGGTCCACTAGAGTTTCAAATTCAAAATTGGGAGCTAAAGGAGGGGGCGACATGGGCTTTTGGTTCTTTTTATTTTAATGATTAATTGTATTTTTTTAATGATTAATTGTATGCTTTAAGTATGAGGGAGAGATTAAAGTTAGAGTTATGCTTGCTTATTGTGTTATCTTGGAGTTTCTTCTTGGTGTCTTGGGCTCTAGATTCATCTAGAGATTGGGAGAGAACGTTCCTCCTCTCGAATTGATGATCAATTGTATCTTGCTTTGTTTCTTTCCGTTGATTTTATTCCTATAATAAAATATACTATTTTTGATTGTTTTCATTGGAATTGTTGAGTTTTTCCCACTGATTTTTATCATTCTTGTTAGGGTTTACTTAAAATATTCAAGTATTTCCTATCAGATATACGAAAAAATATAAAAGATTTTTATATTTTATGGGCCAAAAATTATGTTAATAATGTTATTTTATAACATTTAAATGTTCCTTGTATCGTTTATAGATTGTATTGGCTTAATAAGAATAAATTTTCATATCAAATGAGGTTCATTTGAAAAATAATCAGGCCACTAGAACAACCATTTTGGTTGAACTCTATGCGCACCTGTTGTTTTTGTATTTACATGCAGTATGATATGTACTTATATGTGGCTTTTGCAATTTTTTTGGGGCATTTACTTTTGGATGCTTTTAGGTTATTGAGCTACAGGTGTCATGATCCAACCTCAGCGCTCAGTTAATCCAAGTTGGGCACGAACGACAATGATGAATGGAGGTGAACTGCCCATATGTGCTCAATCTTTTGTTAAAAAAAAAAAAGATGGCAGAACATTCACATCGTGGATAATTCAGAATTTATGCATGCATCACAAGTAATTTATGACAATATATAATCGTCCAAAGTCATCATCCAAAGCAGAAAAAGGCCACAAAACTTTGATCTTTTCATCAAGACCTTCATTAGATACAAAACTATAAATGTATTAAATATTTAAATGTATTATCAAATGGTCCACATTACATTATAATACTTTGCATTGGCATAATAATTTTATCTATAAGAGCAGTTGACATATGATTGAATTTAATCATAATAGTAGCATAACACATGAAACGTAATCGTAATAGTAGCGTAATGTATGGTATCATAATCACAAACATTGATATAGCATTTGTAGAAAGTAGGAATATAAAAAATTATTTTGGATTTTATTACTTATTTCTATACATAAATTTTGAGATATTTTTAAGCTCCTTTATGGATATTATATATGAAAAAAGTGAATACAATTTACACAAATAATAAAAAATCCCAAAAAGGAGCTGATAGTCAGTCAGGTAAAGGGAGAGGAGCACATGAATTTCATTTTAAGGTTTAAGTGACAGAGAAGATGCATGATTAAGCTCTCCTTAATCCATTTGCTCAATATATCATACTATGATTGGCTGTATAGTGGGACCTGTGGCACTTCTATCCTTTCATTAATAAACATGTACAAAAAAATCTGTTACAAAATAGATGTCCATCTATCATGTATCATTCAATGTGTTCATCTATTACAAAACATCAAAATAACAAAAAGAACCTCGCACCCAGCGTCTCTCTATGGCAGTCAATCAGTCAATACTGATTAGCAAGTTTTCCTGAAAACTCCCCAAAACTAGGGAGTGAGCTGACACTCAGCAGGTATCAAGTAAATCTATAAATTACAATTACAATGTAACGAAGATCAATATGCATGCTTTAATATGAAATTGAACAACATGTAACTAAAGAATTAAACAGTATATTGTCATGTAAAGGTAGTCGTGCACCTATATCTATATGATTTCCTATGATCATTTTCTATTTCATAAGTTTAATACCTCTTTCATTTCATGCCTTTTAACTTGTTTTTGTTTTCTATATACATATACATTTATTTTATTCGGATTCTATACACCCGTATCGGAGTACCGAAATTATACTGATCAGGTACATACACATATTGGCCATATCATTTTCCTTTATCATATTGTCCCGAAGAGCCATATTGCTTCGAAGAGCCATATTATGACAAGACACCATATTGGTACTCCGCCTCAATATGCGCAATTTTATATGCAATAACTATCATAAGATAAGTGACTAACATATATATCAATCATATGTTTCTAACCATCAAATTTTTTATGCAAGGTTATATGAAGATTCTTTTTGAATTAAAATGTGGAACTTTCTAAGTAGCATAAACAAGCCAATAATTATTGTAAGCATGATAGCATACTATTTTCATTTAGAATAAAAGAATTAACATGTTATTCTAATACTAAAACATATCACAGTGCATTTAATTTTTAAAGAGCATAAAAGAAAGTTAAACTTGAAAAAATTAAATGTACCTACTTCAAAAAAACAAACAAATCTCGGAATGCGTGTAAATTGTCGTCCAACCTCGCGACAATCTCTCTTTACCACTTTCCTTTCCAAGACCTAAGGGAAATGATTATCATTAGCCCAAAAGGTCTATATTCAATAGTGCATTCCCTTCATTTGATTCCCAATCTTTATAGGTTTCTAGTTTATTTTAAATTTTTTGGTTTTCCCTAAAAAAACCCCCCAAAATTGGAAACACAAAATTCTTTATTTTCTTCCTATGAACATACAAAGACATCCCCTTAACCTAACTAGACTTTAATTTAATTTAATTTTTGGATTTCTTTTATTCAAAATTAGGAAAAATAAAGTTTTCATACAAAACTTTGATTTTATCTCATTAGAACATTCCTATGGTCACTAGGAATAATATTTGTGAAGACCTTCTCAAAGAAATCAAATTTTGGAAGAAACAAAACCCAAAATTTAAAGCTAAAAAATTTTAATTTAAACCCATAAGAATCCTTCTAATATCGATAGAAACTATTTTCGTAAAAGCAATTTGAAAGAAAATCAAAATAGGTGAAAACCCTAATTTTTAGAAACCTAAATTTTTTTTAGGAAAACTAAATTTTCATGGTTAGAATCCTTCCCCAAACTTTCCCTATCGTTATTACTGAAAAAAATCTTAGTTTTGGAGAAACCCTAAAATTTTCTCCTTCAAAATCTAAAAAAAAATGAGGATTTCTAGGTTTAGGAACTTAACTTTTTGCTTTTTAAACCTTCCCCTTCGACCCCCCCCCCTAGTCTTGCTGCCGCCGCCGTCTCCCTCTCCCTCCTTCAGCCGAACAAAAAGAATGGAAGGACCGAAAGTTTCCGATTCCTTTGAGCTTATTTGGGCGGTGGGGTAAGGGAAATGACGCATGTGCCCTCACATGCAAAAAGTCTCTTAAGAATCGGGAAGGGCTATTTAGTCATTTATATTTAAGTAGACTTCGCTGATTTTTTTTTATTTCAAATCTAAGCAAAATTAACCCTAAGTCCTCTGCACCAAATTGTTCGAAATTTTATGTAGAATTTTATAAAAATTATTTCGTCAAATTTCGACAATGTTGTAAATTCACCTATTTTCGTCTTGGTGCGTCACAACATGTTGCGACACTACGGTTCGACATTTTCGAGTTTTACATGGTTGTTTTCATTGTGGCTGCTTCTTGCTTTCTGCGTCGAGAGAGAAAAGGGAGAGTAGAGAGGGAGATAGCTTACTATTGGATAGAAAATTTGGACTAAATTTATTCAATCCCCTTTGAAATAATACAAGGTATCCCTATTTATATTAAAACAACCCAAAAGGGCAAAAATGTAAAATAGCCTAAACTAAAGACTTATACCAAAAACAGTAATAACATTTCAAATGAGAACCAATATCTAACAACTGTTACTTGTGTTCAAACACAAAGTTGGACCAATTATTTTCCTAATTTAATTGGATTACATCAAGGATTAGCTTTAATCCCCATATTTTTTTGCTTTAGTTAGATGTTCTTACCGGACATTTGTAGGAGGATGTACCCTGATGTATGTTTTTTGCTAATGATATTCTTCTTATTGATAAGACTAGAGAGGATCTTGAAGGTAAATTGGAATTATGGAGGTCAACTTTAGAGTTCAAAGGTTTTTGTTCGAGTAGGTCTAAAATCGAATACATGGAGTGTAATTTTAGTAGTAATATATCTAATGGAGAGATTGTGACTTTGGGCAAATAAATCATTAATAAGAGCACACGTTTTAGATATGTCTATTGTCTAGAGTTATGGTGAAATAGATGGAGATATTGTTAGTGGAATTCAAGTTGGATGGTTGAAGTGGATGAATGCATCAGGCCCGTTGTGTGATAGAAAGTACCCCTAAAACTCACAGGAAAATTCTATAAGATGTTGGTGAGACTTGTAATGCTTTATGATGTAAAATGTTGGCCATTAAAAGAGAGGCATACAATTAAGTTAAGTGTTGCAGAGATGAGGATGCTTAGGTGGATTAGTGGCTTTACTCTTAGAGATACAATGTGAAATGAGCATGTACGTGAAAAGGTTGGAGTATCTCTAGTAGAAGATAAAATTATAGAGAGTCAACTTAGATGGTTTGGTCACATAAAACATCGGCCTTCTATGACCTGGTTAGGAGAGTAGCTGTTTTAGATTTGGCCTATGTTAAGAGATGTAGAGGTATACCTAAAAAATTTGGTTAGAAAATATTAGAATTGACTTTTTTTATTAGATTTAAATGAAAACTGGACTCTTAACATGACACAATGGAGAAAAAAGATTCATGTAGCCGATCCCACGTTGTGGGATAATGGCTTGATGATGTTGTTGTTAGATAAGATGCATAACACAATAAGTATATAACACGATTCTCAAACTTCTCTCACTCATGTACATCAACCAATTTCATCAATGATGATTAATATAATTCCTTTCTTGGTTAAGATCTTTCAAACTCCTCATGCTATCCTCTATTGGTCATTCTAATATACAAAGCAATGCGTCAATTATTAGGCCAACAGAATTTCTTAAAGTTCATCATTATATTTATATAAATACTATTGAAAAATATGGGAGAAGAAAACTAATTTTTCATATTCACAAAGGTAAAAAGGGTACATAATTTATAGGAGATAATAGTCCTCCTAGCAGACAAAGTCATTAAGGCCCTAGCCGACCAAATAAAGGAGCGAATGAATAGAAGGAAATTCGATTAATTAATCTATAATAGATCGTAGCAAATAATGTTAGCAATGAATTCATTTCCTTAAGAAAGTAATGACCGAATGACAACTACTAGGTATAATATGATTTCCATCTGGAAGGCATGACTTTAGGTTGCTGTTCAGCTAGCTGGTTGCCAGCAGGAAGCTTGTATTCAAACTGGAAGACCTGACTTTTGGCTGCTGTAACCGGCCAAATAAAGGAGGGAAGGAATAGAAAAGTTGCCTAATTAGTCTATAATAGATCATAGAAGCAAATGTAAGCAATGAATTCATTCCTTTTAGAAAACAGTGACCGGATGACAACACCTTGGTATGACATGATTTCCAGCTGGAAGGCGTGCCTGTAGGCTACTGTTTAGCTGGCAGGCTGCTAGCAGGAAGCTTGTATTCAAGTTGGAAGGTGTGACTTTTGGTCGCTTAACCGGTAAAATAAAGGAGGGAAGGAATATAAAGAAATTTGTATAATTAATTTACATATATCATAGCTGCAAAGGTAAGCAATGAATTCATTCCCATTAGAAAGAAACAACTGGTGGACAAGAGCTTTATACGACATGTTTTCCAGCTGGAAGGAGTGAATGTAGGCTACCTTTCAGCTGGTGGGTCCAGCATGAAAAGCTTGTATTCAAGCAGAATGCCAGTAGTGGGACTGCTCCTGGGTTGAGGGCTGGAGCTCGCTGGTAGGTAAGCCTCCTGAGGTGTGATAGCAGGAAAATATGTGACTGAGTGGTTGTAGATGGAAAGAAGCAATTTGCCATATTCCAATGGCAGTTAGCTGCATTTCTGCATCACAATGATGATGCAGTATACTGGGGAAAGAAATTATATGTATGCTGACTGTGGTTTTCTTGGAAAGTTCCATATATGTTAGGAACGAGGACCACAACATTTCTTGCTTTAATTTTAGGATTTTCACACTCCTCAAGCTGAGAATATATATTTATCATCCAAATTTTTAATTAAGGTTGTCAAATATATTTAATCCATAGTTTTGTTGAAGTGTAACTCAATTGGATGATTCTTTAATAAAACAATTTCTTTATAAAATGTCTATCAGTATCAACATGTTTTGTCTGATTCTGGTTGACATGATTCTTAAAATGTTAAATTGTTAGTTAGTTAACCATCTTATATCATAAGTTTTTTTATGGAAAAATTTAAGTCTTTGAGAAGATGTTTAAGCCACACGGCTTCACAAATGCCATAGGCCATTGCCTGGATTCTATTTTAGCATTGCTGCTTGCAACTAGATTGTCTTTTGCTTCTCTACATAACTAAGTTTTCCCATATGAATGAGCAATATCTCGAGGTGGATTTAACGGTCTTACACATTCATCCCAATCAACATCAATATGGATTTCCATATTTGTCTTCGTTTTTTTCTTGAAGAATAACTCTTTTCCAGGTGCTCTTCTGAGATACCTTAATATCCTATTTATGTTGTCAAGATGCTCTTTTGTGAGGTTATTCATAAATCGACTAACAATACTAAAAAAAACATATATCTGGCTTATTGTGAGATAGGTAGATGAGTTTTCTTACTAACTCTTGGTACATACCTTTGTCTACTGTATAATTTCCCTTAGTATCAGCTTTGTTTGAATGATCCATTGGTGTGTTGTGGGTTTACACCCAAACATATCAATTTTTGTTAGTTAAGTCCAAGAAGTATCTCGCATGTGATGATCTTTTGGTGTATGTCTGATGTGAGATGGGTATCCTTTGCTTGATCTTGCCATTTCCATGCATAGGTAAGAGTGCTAGTTTGTTGGCAACCAACTCTTTGGCTAACTTATTGCTTTTAAAATAATAACCTAATTGATTTCAAGAGGTCTCTTGTGTCTGCATAATGGATTTGTGAAAAAGATGGAATGTGAGGACCCTTTTTCTATGCTTAGCCATAATTTCAAAAAAAATTGCTGAGTATTAATTATCTTAAAAATGACGATCAAGTCATTAATAATATTACACGTTTTAGATATCTTGGGTCTATTGTTCAGAGTGATGGTGAAATTTATGGGGATAGTATTAGTAGAATTCCATTTGGATGGTTGAAGTGGAGGAATACATCGGTCTTGTTGTGTGATAGAAAAGTCCCTGTCAAACTTAAGGGGAAATTCTATAAGATGGTGGTGAAACCTGCAATGCTTTATGGTGCAAAATGTTGGCCATTAAAAGAAAAGCATAATATTAAGTTAATTGTTGCAGAGATGAGGATGCTCAGGTGGATGAGTGGCTTTACTCTTATAGACAAGATACGAAATGAGTATATACATGAAAAGGTTGGAGTAGCTCCAGTGGAAGATACGATTAGAGAGAGTCGCCTTAGATGTTTTGGTCACATAAAGCGGCGGCCTTCTGATAACCTTGTTAGGAAAATAGATGTATTAGATTTGGCTTATTTTAAGAAAGGTAGAGATAGACCTAAAAATACTTGGTTAGAAAATATTAGAAATGACATTTCTTTATTAAATTTAAATGAGAATTTGACTCTTAACATGACACAATGTAGAAAAAAGGATTCATGTAGCCGAGCCCACATAGTGGGATAAAGGCTTGATGTTGTTGTTGTTGTCAAGTTATACATTTTATAGTGAGTTATCCCCTAATCTTGATTTTATTGAGATTAAGAAGAGACTTACAAATATGTGTACTTAAATTACTTGACTTTAATTAAGTATTTATAGTTTCTTTTTATGCATATGATGTATGTATTATGGATTAAAAATCAGGAGGGAAATTTGATTTCTGTTTTATTTCAGTTTTGCAAGTAACAATTTCAGATTTTGGAGAGGAGATCCTCTCCGTGGCAAAGCTGGCGTTTTCTGTTCTACATCACTCTGTGCTTACTTTTTTGCTGGATCTTTGTCTGCTGAGTCTAAGTATCACTTTGTTTGGTAGGTCTTTCATGCTGCCTTGACATAAATCATTCCTAGTGCAAATAGTTCAATATCATCTTTTTTCACAGCAAAGTTGCTGCAAATTATTCAGAGAATATTGTTCTTGCATGCTGTCAAGTCTGTACAATTGTTTCATGTTTGTCTTCCAAGCGGCTTGGAGGCACATTCACACACTGGCATGAATTTTCTTTGACCTTTCTATTTTCTTATCAAGTATTTGTTGGTTAAGTAACCTATGCTTTTCATGATTGACAATTATTTATATATACATGCACCAGCTGTATTTATATGTCCATACATCTTCAAATTCATTGTTTTGCTTCTTTTCATTTTTTTGAAGTAGATTTGCTTGGTAACCTCTTACTTTCATTTCTGGCAGTGACTGTTGCAATACTTCTGTTGTTGATTTCCATCGAAATTGTGCCAATTGTTCATATGATCTTTGTCTTGCATGCTGCCGAGAACTACGTGAAGGTTATCAACCTGGTGTTAAGAAATCAGATTCTGCTCTAAGTTCTTTCCTTGGAGAAAAGTCCAGTCAAGCTACTAGCATGAATGGAAGAATTGACCTAGCACAAAAAATTTTTGGTTGGCAAGGTCCTAATGCACTTAAAAATATCCATAAATTCGTTGATAAAACTTGCTTCTTTTCTGATTGGAGGGTGAATGATGATGGTAGCATTCCATGCCCTCCTAAAGAGCTTGGTGGATGTGGCAATGGTGTCCTTGCATTGAAGCGCACCTTTAAATCTAATTGGGTGGTTAAGCTTATTAGTAATGCGGAGAGATTAACAAACAGTTGTCACTTTGTGGATGATGGTGCATCCGAAATTTGTTCATTATGCCCGGATAAATGCTCATCTATTGGAGTTGATCAAAGTACTTTCGCCTTGCGCCGGGCGGCATTTCGGAAAAATAGCCATGACAACTTTTTGTATTGCCCCAATGCAATTGAATTGGGAGATTATGAATGCGCTCATTTTCAGAAGCATTGGAGAAGGGGTGAACCAGTGATTGTCAGAGGTGTTCTTGAGAGAACAACTGGTCTTAGTTGGGATCCTATGGTTATGTGGAGGGCTCTTCGAGAAAAAAAAATAAAAAAGTTTAATGATGATGGTTATGCTGTAAAGGCAGTTGATTGTCTGGATTGGTGTGAGGTAGGCTAATTTAGTGATTGATTGTTATATTATTTCAATGTATGATGCCATGTTCTCAGCTTAGTAATTTTTATGTTTTCCAAAATTGTTATTTTATTAGTTAATTGGATTATCCTTCATGTACCGAAACACAGAATTTACTCCGTTTCATCTTGTTATTGCATCTTTTGCTATTTTTGACGTAAATCACTATTGCGTCTGATTTTAGGTAACGTGGTAAAATTTATTCCTGATTTGTTTTTGTTTGTTGGATCGTGTAAGAATACATGATTCTTTTTTCAAAAAAAAAAAAAAAAGAATACATGATTCCATTCCAATTTTTCGTAACTTTATGCTAACATAATTGTTATATTTTTTTCTAAACAAATTGAATAGCACATCTTTATATTTTCAAATTTTGTTTTTGTGATTTTCCTGCTTTATTTTATCAATTGTTAACTCCCTAAATACCCATATTCAACCGTCATCGTTCTTCAGGGACAAAAAGAACCCATACTATACTAGCATAGATTATGGTTATAGTCTTATAGATAGTGCTTAATAAATTTGATTGAATGTCTAATTTTTAAACTGTTCCATACTGCTGCTTAGGGTTTCCTTTATAGAATTATATGTGTTGAGCATGTGAACGTGCATGTGTAATACAAATTGACGAATTGCTGCTTGATATTCAAAAGCCTAATGTATGTTTCAAGCATGCACTCAACCTAAAAAAATGCTTTTAACTGATATTCCATAAGCTTCCATCTGGTAGGTCGAAATTAATATTCACAAGTTCTTTAAAGGCTATGTGGAAGGTCGGATTCATAAGAATGGATGGCCTGAGATGCTGAAGCTGAAAGATTGGCCTCCTTCTAGCTTATTTGCAGAGCGTTTGCCGAGGCACTGTGCTGAGTTTATTGCTGCTCTTCCGTTTAGAGAGTATACTCATCCAATGGCTGGAATACTAAATCTTGCTTCACGGATCCCTGAAGGTCGTCCCAGCCCTGATTTAGGCCCCAAAACTTACATTGCTTATGGGTTCAATGATGAGCTTGGCAGAGGCGATTCGGTTACAAAACTGCACTGTGATATATCTGATGCGGTACATTTTTTATGCTCAATCTTGATACTTTTTAGTGCAGTTTCTTTCTTTTTCTGCTTGTAAAATTCTCTAATCCGCTCACAGTTTTTTTTAATAAATTTTCTTCAGGATGGCAATGTTCTTCCGGAATAAGTTGTTTCTAGTTTAGATCAGGGTTACCTCACCTCATAAAATACCAAAACTCCACAAATGGACAACTTTTCTGATTATTGTTAGCTTGAATAATCTGTATGTGATACTTTTTAGCTTGTTGAAATTCTCTCTATGAACATTCAGTGTAGCAGCAATTGGCTATGATGAAAAGGCGGCTTTAATGTGGGAATAGTAAAATAATTCTCACTTATTTCTTATATTTGAGTGGTTCTGAGTTAGATTTCAGAAGCTAGATTGATGCCATAATATATTTTTGAGAGATTTCACCCTTTTACGAGAATGGAATAATTTTGTTTTAAGGTTTTCTGATAGGTGCCAGCCCCTATAGTTAATTATCTCTCTCAATCTAGTTAGATCACTTTTGATTAATTTTTAGTAAGCAGGCCTTACAATACTTAGTTGCAACAAGGTGATTTTGGGAGAAAAAATGTCCCTGTAAGATTTAGAGTGGTTGGTGACTAACTATGACAAATCATATTAAGATCGCATTGTTTTTCATGCCGGGCTGTCTTGGATTGTTGTCTACGTAGTCAACGAAGGTTGTTGGCCCAACCTAACTGAAGTATCCTTGTCAGCAATTATGAGTTGTGACATCGAAGGGGACCACATAGACTTGGAAGAAAGCTTGTTGAACATGCCAATTTTAAGCTGTACTTTGTTAATAGAGAGCTTCATGCTTTATGTTGCATGCTTTATTGCTCACGGCTCATAGATTTAGTTAATGAGGAATATATGTGCTTAAGTTGTGATCATATATAATTGTGTGATCATAATCATGCTGACTACTTGATTAGAGGGCGCATGCCATATCTTTATGGGTGTGAGATTTTGTGTATGATAATCTCAACACATTTGATATGAAATTTATTTTTTCTAAGCTTTAATCAAATTTAAATTCATCATCATTATTGAATTGATATGAGATTTTGTGTATAGCTGCACTAGGCGTTAAGTGATTGGTTATTTATGTTATATTTCTATTTTTTTAGGAAATTTAAATTTTATTGAAATTGCCTGAATTTGTTTTGATTTATGCCCAATTGCCCATCATTGCAAAGGCATTTTGTTTTTTAAATAAATTTGTGAGGGCATTTTTATTATGAGATCAACCCCCTCCCGGCCCCTCATTTAGGATGTTGTGTGTCAAAGCATGCTTATTTATCTTTTGTTATTTAGGGTATTCTTGTCACCAGCATGCAAATTGAAGCGAAGGCATGCTTTTGTTGTATTTTTAATATGAAGACTATTGTGTCATCAACCTCATCAGTTTTGTCATATCTAAGCCAAATGCTTGAGCAAATAAGATTGTTAAATTATGAGCCTTATCAACACAAAGTATTCATAATACAGTGGCGCCATGACATTCATGCTAACAATATAATCATAGGGCACATGCCATATAATTTTGACTGTGATCATACAAACTCACTTGTAAAACATTTACTTTGTGTGAGTTTTGATCAGATTTAATTAACAAATTGATTTAGATGATGGATGGTCGCAAAGTATTCAACCATTGCTTGAACTGTTTAGTATACTATATATATATATATATATTATTGGGAAAATGAATTTAGATCAAATTCCCTCTGGTTATGAAATAAAAAGAATAAATTTGATGGATGGATATGGATCTAAACTCACAAGTTAAATCACAGAAGCTGGTGTTGACTCATCCTTCTATAAGATCAACTTGGGTGAGCTTAAAACTTATCAAGTAAATATTAAATTCTATCTCAACTCCTCCAAGCTTATATCCACGACAAGTTTGCAAATTTATTATGAGTAGTAACATGCCTTATAGATAGCTTCCCTTTAGATGTGAAAGCTTCGATTTCATTATTTCGTGGTGCTAAAAGCTCAATTGGCACTATGATGGCATTTGTAGGAAGTACAAAAACCTTCAATTCGACAATAGATTGCTTCATACCTGGTACTTTTGGATGTGTTGTCTTTTTAAAGATAAAATCCTCTTTCGAGGGTAGTTAACTGAACTTGTGTTGTCATGTACCCAGGTCTACTCAGTTAGTGGATTGAAAAATCTTTTTCGGTAGTCATGAGTTGCGTTATCCAAGAGAATCTTGTGTACATGAGATTGATGTTTATTTTAAGAGATAATTTTAAGTTGATCTTAACTAATAGTGGGTTTTGTCTCTCATCAAGTGCACCCTAATAAATTGCAACTCAAGGGGGTTGAGCCAGTGGGGAAAATTTGGGGTTTGGCCTTGACAACCACAATTTAATGGTGCCATTTCATGGCAAAAGCATTTGGTAAGAGGGCATTACTCATAGCCATTATTTAATGGTACCATTTGGTGGCAAAATCACCCGGTTAGAGGCACATGACATGTCCTTACTGTCGTGAGATATTTTGGGAGTGTTCATAGCGTTATACTTGATGTGATAGCAGTTCTTAGTGAATTTAAGTTAATTTTAAATTTGTTACGCTTAGGAAATTGGTGCGCAGGTTGGATTGTTGTTACTCTAAACTTTGATGTAGTATATTTTGCTTAAGCATTTCTATATTTATAGTTTTTTAGATTTTCATATTTTTATAAGAATTTAGGCCCCACCATTGTTTATTTTAGAAATTATGGTGATTTTGGTAACACGATACCCTCCAATTTATATTTTATGTCAATGCGGCTATTATCAGGGTATTGCTTGAAAGACATTATATTTAAAATTGAATTTATTATTATTTTTTTTTTAAATTTTTTGAAAAGTAATCCTTATGTTTTTAATTTACAATAAAAGTGCCCATCATATGGGTATTTGAATGATTGTACTTGTTTATTTTGGAACCTTGCCAACTATGTCCGCCTGTTCATAGAGTTTCAAGTTCAAACTTTTGTATTATTTGAGTTTGTTTTAACATTCCTGGCATTATAGACTCTATTGACTCCATTCTTGCATATGGATGATCGAGTCTACCTTGTATAATTCACAAATTTTCCTAACAAGTATGCTCACAAAGAGTTTGCATTTTAAAATTAAATTTTTCTTGTAAGAGATTTTGAAGGCTTTATGCAAACAAAAGGCAGAATAACTTTTAGTAAGGTTCGTTAATTGATCCTGTATTTTTTAGGTTAGGACAATACAAACATGTTGGATTAAACTGAGAGTATGAGTTTGATGATCTTTGATTACACTCGTTTTAAACTTGTAGCATGAATATTTTGTCATAGCGCCCAAGTCTTGTCGTCTCCAATCATTGCGATGTGGAGGATTGAACTTGAAGAGTGGGACTTAGGAGCTTGCCTTATAGGCAAGGCAATCTGCTTGAGAGCATGTATATATGTTGAGTTTATGTTTTAAATTTTTTAAAAGTTTGAATTTTCAAAATATTTACAAGTCTTTGAATATGTTGCATGCTTCTCGAAGTGGAGAAAATTTATATTTTTGGTCCATATAGCATTCTCTGATTTTATATTTGAAAGTTTAGTATGCTTGTCAAAAACATATGCATACATTTTATTATAGAAACTTGATGTGTCATTTAGAGATCAAACATGCTTTTTAATGTGCTTACAAGATTTAAGGCATTATGTTTGAGCTGAATTTGCTTTGTGATGTTCATGCATCATTTGAAAATCATTCACCTTTAGTTGTTTGCATGAATAATTTAGCATTGAAATGCTTGCAGTGTTTTAATTTAAGTATAATATTTCGCCTTGTGTTGGCTTGCATGCACTCATTGCAGAGCTTGTGGTGGGATTTGTAATTCAGATTTTGTCACGGCCTGGCTTGATTTAACGAGACGGGAACTAAAAGTCGGACGGTATGATCTAATCATTTTAGTTCATAAACAATACAACATTAAAATATCAAATTCTATTTCTTTTCATTTGAATAGCCACCAATAAAAAAAAATTCTAAAATACTTAACATTTATACAAATCATAAATTACCCGTTTTCAGTTGCACGCCATCTTCTGTAGACGAACTTTTTTCTTTCTGCCATTTCTAAATCTTTGGAGACTTACCTGAAACATTGTTTAATGGAATGAGTTTATAAAGTAAACTCAGTATGCAACTGTTAAAAATAATTGACATGAAATAAAATATACAATACATATAACCTTTAATATACTTATTATTCATTTCCATTTCTTATCTTTGTTTCATTCATTTCAGTCATTTATGCATATCATATCACAGTTCTTTATAACCTTTATAGAACTTTAATATTTATTCATTTTCCTATTTCATTTATACATGAGCACCGTCTAAATATATTGAAGGTACAACCATTGTTGAAAATTGCGCAATATGAGGCTTGCCTTGAGGCCCGCCTTAGCGCAATTCCAATGAAAAATGCCTCGAGGCTTACGCCTCAAGCTTTTTTTACGAGGCTTACGCCTCAAGCTTTTTTTATGAGGCTTACGCCTTAGCTTGGTTGAGGCCCGCCTTGAGGCGCGCCTCGCCTTACTAGAGTGAGGCGTACGCCTCAACCGATTAATATAAATTTTTTTATTAAAACTTGCATAAACCCTAAACTAAATCATCTAACAAATCATGTCTTCATGCACCCTCAAGCCGCAAAAACTTCCTCTCAATAGCCTCAACCTCTTGCCCACCGCCTTTGCCGTAGTCATCACGATCGTAGCCACCGCCGAGAATCTCTTGAATGCTGCACACCACTTCCTCTAAAAATTTTGGAGTATTATTTACATCTTTATGTTGAAGACAAATATTTATGAAAGAAAATGATGATTGAAATAAATGAAGAAGAAACAAATTGAGAGGCATTGAACTCCATAGGATGAGACAGGGAAGAGAGCAATTTGTTATGACAATGACTCAAATAAGGGGCAAATTATTGGGTCAGGTGACTGAACCCATCT